GAGGAGTAGGGCTTTCAAGCCAGGCCTTAAAGGATATGGAGGGCTTGGATGAGAACCGGAGTGAGGGGAGAGTTTCTTAAGCAGGGATGGGGTGGGGGCCCTGTGAGTACCCAGCCTAGCTAAGCAGTGGGTGTATGCAAGGGAGGAATAATTCATAGCTGGCTTTGGTCCCTGACTCTGCAGAGGCAAACCTCATTCACACGCATTAGCTCCCTTGATCCCAGCAGCAATCCTGTGACAGGGGAGGCATTAGTATTTCCATTTTCAGAAGAGGGAAGTCAGGTTCAGAGAAGTTCAAGGACTCGTGTGGGATCAAGCACCTATGAGTTACCAAACCCAGGTCTTTTGTCTTCAAATCCTTTGTCTAATCTCTCTCTCTCTCTCTCTCTCTCTCTCTCTCTCTCTCTCTCTTTCTCTCTCTCCCCGCCCCCCTTTTCTTTTTGGGTGGATGGCTGGCCAGTACAGGGATCGAACTCTGGACTTAGTGTTATCAGCACCACTCTAACCAACTGAGCTAACTGGCCAGCCCCCATCTTCAAATCTTCTGTTCTTTTCACTATATCAAGTAAAGTGCGAGCAAAGGTTGGGAAGTGGGGGGACAAAGGGCCCTGCTGGGGAGCAGTAGGGCTTAGGCAGAGTCTGGGGTTCTCTCAGGGTGGACATCTCTAGGGTGCCCAGTCCTCCCTGCAGTCTGTCCCCCCTTCTCTTGGGGGTGACAGTGACGTTTCAGTGTGCCTTGCAGGACTGTAGTTCTCCAGAGAGCAATGGGTCCCCGGAACCCAAGAGACCAGGAGCCTCTGAGGCCTCTTCTGGAAGCCAGGAGAAGCTGGACTTCAACCGAAATTTAAAAGAAGGTGAGATGTCTGCCGGGTTAGGGGAGGGGCCTGGGTGGGCGGGTGTCAGGGCAGATCCTCCTCATCCCTTCGGTGTCTTCCAGTTGTGCCGGCCATTGAGAAGCTGCTGTCCAGTGACTGGAAGGAGAAATTTCTGGGAAGGAACTCTATGGAAACCAAAGATGTCAAAGGTAAAGGCCTGTGGTGGCGGCAGGGGAGGGACATTTGAACCCACTTCCCCTGCCCCTGGCCTGGCCATGCGGTCTGGGTTTGCAGGGCAGTTCTTGGTTTTTTGTCTGTGTTTTGGTTTTATGTTTTACAGCTGGTGAGGGGATCGAAACACTTGACCTTGGTGTTACCCGCACCACACTCTCCCAAGGGAGCCAACCAGCCAGCTTTGTAGGGCAGTGCTGGGGGTTCTTAGTCTGCTCATCTCTGTCCTGTGTCACTTGGCTTCTGCCTGGCCCTAGGGGTCATCACCATCCCTTACCTGGGGAGGCCCAAGCATTAGGTCTGGCTCATCCCCGTGCAGGAGAGGCGTGGCGGGAATCAAATCACATGAGCATGCATTTGGGCTCTTACCAGGGACCCTTGTGACTTTAGATGTGTCGTTGCCACTTCCTAGGTCTAACTATAAAATGAGCAGAAAGTTCTTTTCATGGCTGATAGTTAATTCTAGGCCACCAGCACCTCACTAAGGGAATGAGAAGGGCATATTAAAAGGCTGCTGCTGGGGTCCCCTGGAGTGATGGTTTTTCCACCCACAGAGGGAGCTTTAAAACAAACAATGCAGATGCCCAGGCTCCACCCACGCCTACTGAATGAGAGCCCCAGGTGATGGGGGCCTGTGCTTCCCGAGTGGTCCTTGATGCAAACAGCCTGCACCCTGGCACTTAGAAGAAGCTGCTGTATTGGACATTAGCTAAGTTAGAGGGCAGGGAATTGCTGACATTTGCTGGTTGAGAACCATGTGTCGGACCCTGGACGAAGCTTTACACATGTCAGCTCGTTCAGCCCTCACAGTAACCCTGTGAAGTGACTATCACTGTGCCCATTTATGATTAAAAAACTATAGAGTGCAGAGAAGTTGGTAGTTTGCCTACAGCTCACAGGCAAGATGGTCTGAAATGGGACCTCCCTTGCTCCAAAGCCTGGGCATGTCCCACTGGACCCCTTCCATGAGACGGTTGGTTGTCCACCATGATCCTGCGTCACCGGGCACTTGAGGACGTCTGACAGAATTTCTAGGCCGGCTAGTTGTCAGGTAGCAAGATGAGGAGCCCCTCCAGGACAAGGATCGTGTCTCGTCACTTCGGTCACTCAGCCCCTAACAGGGGCCTGGGACAGAGCAGTTGCTCAGTAAATATCAGACGGACGGGCGGATGGATGGACAGTGAGCAAATGCACAGTCTCAGTGTCGGCCGTTCCACCCTGGAGCAGGGACCCAGGAGAGCCTGGCAGAGAAGGAGCTCCAGCTTCTGGTCATGATCCACCAGCTGTCCACCCTGCGGGACCAGCTGCTGACAGCCCACTCGGAGCAGAAGAACATGGCTGCCATGCTGTTCGAGAAGCAGCAGCAGCAGATGGAGCTGGCCCGGCAGCAGCAGGAGCAGGTAGGCGTGGGGTCTGGCTGTCTCTCTGGGGGAGGGGGCCTCTCAGGGCCAGAGAGGGGCACCTTCAGGCCTGGCCTAGCTGGGGCAGGCTGAGGCCTGAGGGAGTTTGGGGGCAGGACCTGGGGCAGGAGCTGTGCGATTCCCACCTCTTGCTGAGTCAGAAGCCCTTGTGGGGGCATCTGGGGTGGGAGGCGCTAAAGGGACTTGCTTCCTGCCCAGCTCCATCCCTGGCCCCTGCGAAAGGAAGATCTTTCTGAGGGCTGACTGTCCTACTGCTTCTCCACCCGCCTCTGTCCTCTAGTTTGGTGTGCCCCAGTGTGAATGGCAGTGTGTGTGGTGAGGGATGGGACAGGCCCTGTGGGAGGAGGGGCACAGGGCTAATGGCCGTGACCCCCTTCACCAACTCTTTCCCTCTCCAGATTGCTAAGCAGCAGCAACAGCTAATCCAGCAGCAGCATAAGATCAACCTCCTCCAGCAGCAGATACAGGTAAAGAGGGGAGACCTGGGTATGCAGAGCAGGAGGGGAGAGGGCTGACACCAGCCTGGAGAGGTGCTGGGGACAGGGGATATGGATCAAGCTAAAGCTGCCCAGAGCAGAAGCACTTCAGCCTGACCCTTGGGAGGGGGCTCTAATTTCTGCTGTTGTCTCCTGCCTGTCTTCTTTCCCTGTTTTAACGGAGGGGCCCAGAATGTCCTCCACCCCAGCTGAGACTTGGGGACAGGTAGACAGGGGCCCATGGAAGTGGCATGGGGCCAGATGGATCCTCTTGCAGACTGTCCCTGCTCTATGCCCTGTGCCTCTCATCCATGGGTCCACCCTCTGTGTCCTGGGCTGACCACAGCTGGGTAGCTCTTTGGACCCCTGGGGACTCACACAGAGTTTCTTTGCCTTCAGCAGGTCAACATGCCTTATGTCATGATCCCAGCCTTCCCTCCAAGCCACCCTCCTCTGCCTGTCACCCCTGACTCCCAACTGGCTTTGCCCATTCAGCCCATCCCCTGCAAACCAGGTGAGTGTGGGAGGAGAGTCTCTGCTACTGAGGCTGGCTTGTCCCGAGGCCAGGGAAGGGGTCTGGAACTGCTGTCATCCACCACGTTGCCATGTGGCCTTTCCGATCTGTCCAGTGAAAGAATAACCCCTTCTTTCTGAACTTCACTGGGAGAATGGAAAGAAATTGCACATTGAAAACCATCAAGCACTTTCCAGATGTAAGATGACGTAGCAATCTAGGTCTAACGTCCCCTGCTCCACTGTGCTGGCATGTTAATATGTTGAATATTAGCTAGGTTTATACATCTCCCAAATTCCAGCAGCCACTGTTCCTGCCTCCACACTCCTGTCCCTGTCCTGAGCCTGCCTCGCCTGCCTTCTGCCCCGTCACTGAAGTTCAGCAAACAGACTGACCGTGTGTCAGGCACCTTGCAGTTGTCAGGGAGCCATGGGGTGATAAAATATGAACATTGAGCTCAAGGAATTTACAGTCTGGGGAGGGAGAAAGAGGAGGATACCAGTAACTGGGAGGTCTGGGAAGGCTTCTGAAGGAGGTGGCGTTGGAGTAGGTCCTGGAAGGATGGGTTGGACATGGGCGGGTGCAGTGGGAGCTGAGTGTGATCAGGGAAGGGTGATCAGGCAGAGGCCCTGGATTCTGAGGCTGTGAAGGGGTGTCAGAGTTGAGGGGGGTGTGGGATATCACTGGGGAGGGCATTCGGGGCCAGAGCATGGAGTCTGGAATTTATTTTGTAGGACATGGGGTGCACTGAACATTTGAGTAGCAGACGTGTTGTCTCTGGCTGTGGGTGAGAGGGAACGGAGGGGAGACCCGGTAGGGGGCTGTTGAGATAATTCTAGTGATAGGGGATGACACCTGAACTAGGATAGTGACAGTGGGGATGGAGTCAGAGATGGAGTTATTGGGCTGTGGGGACAGGGCAGAAGTGCTGCCCACAGTTGGCCCAGGAGGATGAACAGCTTTAAAGTCGACTCCTTCTGCCCACAGCCCCCCACCCCCAATCCTGTTCTACAAGCGAGAAAGAGAGAGCAGGGGAGCTCCACTGGGCCCACCCTTGTGGCTGTAGGCTGTGGGCAGGTGTTCACCAGTCAGCCCCACTGACTGCTCCTGCCTGGCTTGTACCAGGCCCGTAGGTAGGGCAGGGCAAAGGGGGAACACAAAGGACTGAAAAAGTCAGGCCCTGTCCGTCCATTCAGGCTGCTATAACAAAATACCACGAACTGGGTGGCTTTCAAACAACAGACATTTATTGCTCACTGTTCTTGAGGCTGGG